TTTTTACTAGTAAAAGATATTTTACTAGTAAAAGATACCATGAAGTGTGTTACACATTTTTTCATTTAGATGTATATCTATCTGCTTCCAAAATAGAGATTTGAGGTTGTCCATCATTTTTTTAAATGTCTATAATGAGGCCATTATAATAGAAATCAAAGTCCATATAGAAGGAAGGGTGAATGAATCTATACAGTATCTAAGACAACATACTCACTGAAGTTAAGCAAAATTAACCCTGAGCTTCCTGGCAGCCAAAGCAAAGAAAAGGAGGGTGGGAAGGCAGTGGCACAGAGCTGGTGAACCCTGGAGTAAAGTGTCGCTTGTTGCTGTGGACTTAGGGAACTGTAAACCCTCATCCAGTCCCTTGGAGTTTGCACCAAGCTCTGTCCTGGGCCCCTCACTCAGACAATCCCCTGGCCCTTGCCTCTCCACCCGCCGCAGCCCTTTGTCAGCACATCTGCCTCACCTCCCAGCTCAATGCCTTTGGTGAGTGCTCCCAGGGTCCCTTCCAGATCTAACATACTCTGATTCTAGAGAAAGTGCTGATTAATTGATTAATTGATTGAGTGATTATTTTTTTCTTTCTCTATATGTAATTCCACTTGACAACCTTTCTATTCCAGAGGTCAACAGAAATCCCCACCCTGTCAATTTAATGTTTCTGCTCCCTGCCAAAGAGGCATGAAATCACAGCCTGCCACTGATATTAAAGGTCATTTTCCATGAATTTATAGATGGTAATGTCCAGATAACTTGTGACTTAAAACATATGGTCACCAGCTCCCCTATTAAATTAGTCTCTCGACCCTCACAGATCAGTCTGGGTAATAAGGAGGGTGCGCCAAGTCATTAGGCAGAAGACAGTGACGTCTGGTGAGCTGGCCGGGTGCAGTGGCCCTTGACTTCCTGGGGCCCTGGGTGAGCCTCTCTGGGGAGAGAAGATGCTCCCGAAATGAGCATTTTCTCAGGGAAGGGCAGCTGCTTCCGAAATGCACATAGCTCCTGGAAGCCCAATCTTGCTTCAAACCATATTTACTTTCACGGTCTCCTGTCTTAATTACATTTTTTCTTTCCTGGCGTCCCAATTCATTATTTAAAACAACTTTCAAAAATAATTACACAATAATTCCTTCCCCCGTGCACAGTAGCTGCTTACCTATGTCAGGTTGTCGGCTCTTTATTCATGCGTAGCTGTACTGAGAACATTGCTGTCATCAGAGTCTGCGTATTGTGGGCAAAGTATGTGATGACAGTGCTCAGTAATTCCTAAACAAGGAGTAGCATTCCCTTTGGGGCCTCATCCGCAGTGGCCAGGACTTGTTTAGAAAGCCCACATTATGCAGTTTGCTCAACACATAAACAATCTTGTATTTTACTTTTTAACTTAGCATAATTTCATGCACGCTTTTCCATGTAGCTACATAATCTTCCGATTTATCATTTTAATGGCTGCTTAATATTCCATCTAGTTAGCATGCCATAATTTACTTAACTGTTCCCTATTGTTGCAGCCTTAATGAAAATTTGAATTCACCATGTACTACAGGGGGAAGCTCATTTTAATGATTACCGTTATAACATTCCTTGCCCTAACTGCATGCCATTACTAACCCAGCTTTAGGAAGGCACAGATGCCTTTGGAACAATAAATTCTGTATGAGAGGTGTAGGCACAAGTCCCTCTGATTTAATAGCTAATCTGTTCACTGCACATGTTTTCCTTTTATGCTGGTGTTTATATAGAATATCCATCTCTTCTGCATATTGTGTAATACTAAACTATATGCATTTGGCATATTGCTCCACATACTTTATCACTGCTCTCAGGGACTTCCAAAAATTAACAGGAATTCGGGGTAAGGAGTGAGTTTCTGGCTGTCAGTTGTCGTTCATTTTTCCCACCCACACTCATTGAATATCTGCTTGCAGCCAGGCTCGATGAGGGAGAGAGCAAGGGCACACCTGATTATTGGCAGCCCACAGATGTGCATCTGTGAATTGCTTTGTGGTACCCAAGATTAAATGGTGATTCTCACGCAAAGTGCTTTGTAAACTGTAGAGCACATTACTGGTCGCTGGTCCTGCTTGTAAAGTAGGGTGAAGAGGAAGATGGTTTTCCTGGGTCAGTCAGTGCCCATCAGCTGCAGCCCCACTGTCCTCAGACGTCGGAATTTTCCAAGGACAGGAGGCTAGACTGCACTCGTAGAACCAGTGAGAGTAATGCAGATGACAACCCCACAGAACAGATAGTTTGGTCGGTTTAGTGAGTTACAGAGTCATCTATGGTGTCTTACAGTTGGTACTCACTTTAAAGTGACCAAGTCCTACCATTTACAGCTTTTCTCTTTTCTTCTCCCTCCCCCATAAAAAGGGAAACATCATCCTTAAAACTAATAAATGATCCCAGTTTACTCAGGGGACCCAGTAAAGCCATGTTTTGCCAAAGTATGGGACATCTTCTCGGAGGGGATGGGATTTTAAGAGCCCTGAGAACCATATAGCGAGAAGGCTTTTTCCATTTTGTTCCTCTGTCTTTCTAAAAAGAGAAAGTGACTATTTGCCAAAGAAAGTATCTCTGCGTGCTGCTTGCACCCCCACCGGCTCACTAGCACTTGCGTGTGTCCCTTCTCAGCGGAGGGAAAGCGGGCCTTGTGCTAGCTCCCCAGCGGGCCGGAGGACCTACCTGCTTGGTTTTGTTCTCATTCATTCTTTTTACGCTTATCAACTATTTGTAGTAAAGGATAACAACTCATGGGTGGTGATAATAAAATTTTTATCATAAATTTATTAACTCTAAAAAGTGAGGCAACATAAGTAAAAATAGAAAAGAATAACCCAAGCAGTAGTTGAAAACAGCAAAATCATGAAGTTGCTGTGTGAGTTAATGAGGTCTGGGAAACACTACCGTAATGTTAGTTAATGTCAACACTAAGCACTGGCACAGCGTCAGCTGGCTTCTGTAGTATCAGGGCGTGTGCATGGGGATTTTTGTCATCCCCGTGAGCTGGCCCTGGAACGTGAAGCCCAGCCTGAAAACAATGTTCTTGCTCAGATGGGCTGACCTCACCGGGTGTTTTGTCAGCTGCTCTTCAAGGTATATAAGTCCCGTGGGCTTCTACCATGTCTTTATGCCGTTGGAACTCTGATTTGGAGAATGCCTCAAGAGTCCTTTTAGGGGGCGCCTGGGTGGCTCAGTCAGTTAGCGTCTGCCTCCGGCTCAGGTCATGATCCCAGGGTCCTGGGATGGAGCCCCACATGAGGCTCCCTGCTCGGTGGGGAGCCTGCTTCTCCCTCTCCCTCTGCTTGTCGCTCCCCCCTGCTCATGCTTGCTCACTCTCTCTCTGTCAAATAAATAAAATCTTTTTTCTTTTAAATAGCTCACTCTCAACGACCCTCACCCCTTTAATGTCAAACCTTACCTCTCCCCTCTCACCTCCTTGGACCCAGTGCTCCAGCAAAAGTGGACAGTGAATAGACCTACAGTTTTATTCCGCCTCAAAAAGAAACAAAATTCTGACACATACTACAACATGGAAGAACCTTACAAACATTATGCTAAGTGAAATAAGCCTGTAACAGAAGGACAAGTACCGTATGATTCTCCTTATATAAGGTGTCAGATTCATGGAGACAGAAAGTAGCCTGGTGGCTGCCAGGGGCTGGGGGAGGGGGAAATGGGGAGTTAGTGTTTAATAGGTACAGAGTTTCAGTTTGGGAAGATGAAAAAGTTCTGGAGATGGGTTGTGATGATGGGTGCACAACAGTGTGAATGTACTTAATACCACTGAACTGTATAATTAAAAATGGTTAAAATGACAAAGTGATGTTATGTACATTACCACAGTGAAACTGAAAGGCAGTGAGCCTGTCCGTCCACTCCAGCCACACCGCCTTGGCTCCCCTCAGTCCCACCATAGAGAATACCAACCCTCCTATGTTCACTTGTCGGAGTTCACGTGTCGTCACTCTCCCCCTGCCTCATCCCTTCCAGGCCCTGCACTGAGCCCCTTTGCCAGGGGAATTACGGTGATTTAGGTGCCTGTTATACCTCTTCTGGAAGCAGTGGGCTTCCTGAGGGCAGCCGCTCCAGTGAACCCTCCCTTCCATATGTCCCACGCAGGCCCTTCACAAAGTCAAGCAGGTAAAGTGTCACTCTTTGACTCAGAAGCACCTGATTCTAGTATCCTGGCATCCATCTTTGAGCCACCACTGGCCTCTCAGAAATGAGCAGCAGCTGACGTGGATGCCCCCTGTGTGGGGCCTGGTCTAGACAGGCGGTCACCCCTCAGCCCACAGAGGGCCAGGCCTTGGCATCCTCTCCAGAGGATTAAGAGTTTCCCCCCCTTATTCAGCAGTGAAACTGGACACGTGCTCTCAGGTCCCTCAGATGTGCTCAGTGTGTTAGAAGACAGGTAGGCTCTTGGGGAGGCAGAAACACAGGGAAGGGGGTGCTCGTGGGGCTTTGTAGGGGAGAAGATGGTGGCCCTGGGAAGGCTCTTGACTTGTTAGCTGAAGGAAAACTTGAGGATTGTTTGGCCTAATTTCATTTTTCAGGTAGAGAATGGAAGTCCAGAGGATGGGGAACAGTCCTAGTGGGGAAGACCCTATTCATCTATAAAGCAAAGGGGTGAGGGCTCTTTGTGTTCCAAGCTGATGTCAGAACACACCTGGAAGATGATGTGCACATCTGGGCCCTGCCCTTGCAGACTACAATGAACGATGAACGAGCAGATGGCGGTGGCGGCGAACCTTCTGGTTCTCTCATTAGGTCCAAGAACCTGAGATCTGTGTGAGGAAGCCTTGCCCTGTGAGAGCAGAGACGCTGCCTTCAGGGGATGGGGAGGGACAGTTCAAGCTCAGAAACAGGGTTCTGTTCTTGTGCGGTTCTCCCCTCTTTGGCTGGTGACAACTCCTGTGGGTGTCACCTGGCAGATCCCAGGTGAGGAAGTACATGCTGCTCATCTGTTATATCTCTGCTTCCTTCCTTTTGGCCTGCAGAATTTCAGAGGCAAGAAAGTGTCCGGTCCCAGCACAAAGGCATCCAATTATACGACACCCCTTATGAACCTGAGGGCCAAAGCGTCGACTCGGACTCCGAGAGCACGGTCAGCCCCCGACTGCGGGAGAGCAAGCTGCCCCAGGATGACGACAGGCCTGCCGACGAGTACGACCAGCCATGGGAGTGGAACCGGGTCACCATCCCAGCTCTGGCAGGTAAGGAGCCAGTCGCCCCCCTCAGAGGGGGCTGCTGACCCCACACTCCATACTCATCTTTGGTAAAGGGCGTACATGCACCGTCCCTCCTGCTCAGGTAAACCACAGGACTTCGTTTGATAATCCATTTGGGCTGGGCTGTCCTCTCCTCTAGTCCAGCTGGGCCCCTCAAAGATGATGAGGGTCCTGGAAGGAAGGGAGGCCAGGTCAGGCCAAGGGGAAATCCAGGGCTGGCCCCTAGGGCCTCAGTTCCAGTCTCCCTAGTCTTCACAGACAGCCCAGATGATCTCATTGTCTGACTCTGTCTTTGTCCTGTTGGTAATGCTCTAATTCACTGAAGCCTGTTTCAGAAGGAATTTTCTTACAGACTAAAAGAAGACCAATCTGCAAAGCAGCTCGTGCTGGGCATGAGGGAGCCCAGTGCTTCCATCTAGCTGTACAGCTGTGATAGGCCTGCATGCACCCAGGGCCACCACGTCTCCTGTCCCAGCTCGGGCATGAAGCCATTCACGGAGCATAGGCATGGGCGCATCCTGACCTCAACCTGGCTCTTGCCCTGGCCAAGAATGACTGAGGTGCCCCCCTCTGCCTTGCTCTGAGACTGGTTCTGCAGAATCTGGATATCTGTCCCAGCACTAAAACTCCCCTCACACAGCCTTTTGGAAAGCTGCCTGCCACATGTGTTAATAGGTCTTAAGCTGATGTGCACACCTTTTGATTCTAAGCCCAGCCTTTAGGATCCATGCCAGGGTTTTGATGGAAAACTCAGAAAAGGCATTGTTTATGATCATGAAAGGTGGGGAACAACCTGAACGTCCAGTAGACAGGGATTAGTTAAATGGAATACATACAGCCACTAATAGGTGATGTTGACAAAGAGTTTATAATAACTGAGGAAAATGCTTCTGTTTAATGTTAAGAGGTGAAAAGCCCGGGGCACCTGGGTGGCTCAGTTGGTTAAGCGACTGCCTTCAGCTCAGGTCATGATCCTGGAGTCCCAGGATCGAGTCCCACATCGGGCTCCCTGCTCAGCAAGGGGTCTGTTTCTCCCTCTGACCCTCTTCCCACTCGTGCTCTGTCTCTCATTCTCTCTCTCAAATAAATAAATAAAATCTTAAAAAAAAAAAAAAAAAAGAGGTGAAAAGCCCGATGTAAAACTCCGATCTGAGAGTTAAGGCATATGAAAAAAGAGACATTGAATGACTCATTTAATTCTTGCCACATTGAAGGTCCAAAAGGGCGAGTTTTTCTTTTCTTTTTTTTAAGATTTTATTTATTTAGCGCACGCATGCAGGGGGGGCAGCAAAGGGAGAGGGAGAGAGAGAATCCCAAGCAAGACTCCATGCTGAGTGCACAGAGCCTGACACGGGGCTCAATCCCATGACCCAGAGATCATGACCTGTGCTGAAATCAGGAGTCAGATGCTTAACCAACTGAGCCACCCAGGTCCATAGGGGAGTTTTTATTTTTAATTTAAGATTCATTTTTGCCTGAGGTCTCCCCTTTTCATGCACAATTAGACCTTTCCTTTCTAGCCCCCAGCAGTGAGGCCTCTGCCCTACCTCCATCCTGATCCCCTCAGTTGATGTTCCAGCCACATACTACTCACAGTTCCCTGGACATAGTATGCAGTGTGCAAATCCCATTCCTTCTGCCTAAATGTCCTTCCCTGCCATGGCAAAAATCCTGTACCTCCTTCCAGACCCAGCTTAAATATTGTCATCTCTGTGAGCCCTCCCTGAGACACAGCCGTGTGTCCCAAGGGCTTTTTTACTGCCTCTCTGGGCCTGTTGAGCTTCTTGCACTCAACTCTGGTAGAACGTTTCTTTCATCATATGGTTAATTCTGTTAGATGCTGGTCTCTGCCTGCCAAGCTGTGAGCACCTGGCCAAGAGCCAGAGACAAACATAGTTGTGTGGTTGAAGGTCAGGTTGCCCCTGTGCATTTTATAGCCTCCTGTCTTGCCCTGGCACAAGGGAATCCAAGGACTGCCCCTGTCCCCTGGCGTGGCTAATAAGGGGCTTTACTCCTCCTGGGCGTGAGAGGAGCTGGAATGGGGCCAGTGCCATCCAAGAGCTTACTCTTTGCAAACACCATTTTGATTAAAGGGCTCATGTGGCAGCTCTCCCAGACATCTCGAGCCCTTGGCGTGAGATAGTGTGATGGGGCCTCACATTGGACTGACCACCTGCAGGTCAATCAAGGGTGATGTTACCTTTGATGCTCTAGTTTGGTCTGGTGCCATGCTGCTCAGAACGTGGTCCCTGGACCAACAGCGTTGCGTCACCTACGAGCTGGTAGGAAATGCAGGGTCTCGGGCCCCACCCCAGACCTACGGAGTCAGTCTGTTTTAACAAGGCCCCCAGGTGATTCACATGCATGTTAAAGTGAAATGCACTTAACCTATAGGACCTTAACTGTTCAAAAGGCTCTCGGACCAGAACCTGCCCGCTTCTGCCCAAAGGGGGTTTTAGAACTCCTGTACATTCTTTACAAAGGATCACAAGGTCTCAGCTAGAACAGTCTCCTTGTAAGTTTCTGGGCCACAGATATCCATTCTGGACTTGGCTTCATGTCACTGTGTTGCTGTCACAGGTGTCATTGTAGATCTGCTTCTTAGGCTGCCGAGAGAAGACAGACTCAGAATCAGGTCCCCGTCTGTGTCTCATCAAGTCACTTGGTTCTGTGTGGCCTGCTCCAAAGTATATCCTGGCCGTCCTCTTCCCAAGAAGCTTTTGGTTTGGTTCTGGTTTCTGGGGCATAGAAGGAAGCTCTTTCACTCGGGCTGGAGGGATGCTGTAAGCACCAGTCTTTAGTCATGACCGATGCCTCCCCATGTCTGTGGACAGAGCCTGTTGATGTAGTGTTAGTAGGCGAGGAGCACCCTCCGGTATCCTAGCCCAGAGTGAAAATGGAGTGAGAGGTGGATGGGCCACCTTCCAGGTCAGGAGCATGCGTTGAAACAGTACAGTTGGATAGCTCGAGTGCTGCCATGGACTCGCTTGTAAACCCAGAAGTGTGGCTGCCCGGGAATGAAGAACAATGTCCCACGTGCATCTGTAGTGTTTGTGCACGTGCATGGCTATGTCCGTACGCATGTTCTTTGTCATTGGTGTTGTCAGGGAGCAAGGCAGCGCTCGGCTAGGCCCTGTCCTCCATGCAGTACCTGTTTGAAATGTGCCACATGGTTTTTCTAGACTTTCAGGAGCTCTCTGATAGGCCCTGGGGAGTCTGGGGTGCAGGATCTGTAGCTGGGGAGCATCTGTATGGGATAAAATTGGCTGGGCAAAATCATTACTCTCTCTTTCCACCCTTTGTGTTCTCTGGTTTTGCATTTTTAGCCTGGATGAGGGAACCTGGGCAGTGTTTTCAAATGTCCAAAGGGTGTGGATTGTGAGGGAGCCCCAAAGGGCAGAGCTGGGCCCACCAAGAAGGAGCCACAGGGATTTAGGATCCAGGTGAGCGGTAAGAATGTCATTTATACCCAGAAGTATATGAGCTTCCCCTCACTGGGAATTTGCAAGCAGAAGCTCAGTTGAGGCAGGATTGCTGGCAGAGGCTTTGCCCAGAAGTGTGGGGGTGGCCTGTCACCTCCAGGATTGCTTCCATGTTTCAGCACCCCACCATGCTGATCATAGACTGGGAGAAGGGAGGGCCTCTGAATTATCTCCATGATTCAGTTATTGCATTCATGGCAAGAGGCATTTCTCAAAGGCGGGCTTTGGCATCTCCATAGAAGTAACCCTTTCCAGCCAGTGGCTCCAGACCAGCCTGTATGGAAGTCAGACCCTTCCCAGCTCAGCCATACTCTGAGGCTCTGGGGGCTGCTGCCTCGGGAAGGCTTGATTATCACTCCCTGGTTGTCATGAGAACAGCTATTGCATGGTGTGAGGTGGTTCTGGCTTCTTGGGAATGAAAGTCTTCCCACCTCCTAGAATTCTATGGCCAGGTGAGTGAGAAATACCACAAGGTCTCCAAAAAGCCTTGGGCCTTCATTGCCTGCTCTTCCTCCAGGAAGCCGACTGTGGCCTTAGCCAGAACCTCCAGTCACCCAGCACTGGAGTCCCTTCCCACACACGTGGCCTCTGTTGATCCCAGCCCCCTGGTCAGGTTTCTGGCACCTCCGACTACCAGGAACAGGCAGGCTGCAGCTGGGCCATGCACGGAGAGGTGGTATGGCTTCCATCAAGCTATCAGCCCCTTTCCCCCCTGGCAGAGACACCTGCCATCAGAGCTGGTGGTTTTAGGTCCTGGCTTGCTTCGACTCACCCCCTGGGAATCTTTACAGCAACAAATTGCAAGGTGGCAGGTGGGTCTAGAAATGGCCTTCCCGCCTAGCCCTAAGCCCCCAGGTGCAGCTCTGAGCCCACACAATGGCTCTTTGGAACTCTCTGCCCAGTAGTGGGGCAGGAAAAGCAGCCTCGGGTGATTCCACACTGTCTTAGGGAGGCATGGGTGGGTCTGGAGGGTCTAATCAGCCCTGGGCGTTGTGGCAGGGTCTGTGACATGGACAAAAGGAGCCTGCACAGGAGGTGGCCACACAGGGAAGGGCAGAGGAGCTAGGAGCATAACCTGGAGAAGCAGACATGGGCTCAGAGTGGCATGGGTTAGGTGTCTTCACATCTCTGAGGGGCCACTGGGAGGACAGGGATTGAACCTGTCGTAGGAACCTCGGTTTTCTCGCCTGGGAAACTGCAGATGGTCCCAGTGAGGCTTAAGGGAACCGCATCACGAAAGTGCTGGCCATTGACTAAGTACTTTCTGTCTGCATTGTCTCATGAAATCCTACAGCAACCTGCTGGGAAATGAGTTTCCTCATTTTACTGATAAAAAAGACTGAGGTCCAAAGAGAAGGGGCCCATGGCTAGTCAGCCACAGAGCCTAGATTTGAACTTGAGAAGTCCAACTCCAGATCCAAGCCCGAACCCTGGATGTCCAGGCTCCCTGCTGCTGTCAAACATGCTGCACAAAATATGGGTGGAGTCCATGGGAAATGTCAC